CAAATAACTTAATTTAAAATTAAAAATATAAAAATAAGAATATTGATACTTTGAAAATAGAAAGGTTTACAGGGTTCAAATCAGTAAAATTTTTGGACGGAAATAGTGTATCCGACCCGCCCCCACGGAGTTGCCAATTCCTAGATGCGTTATGCCCCATTCGATTGAATGCGTTTCAGTTTTATCTTTTTCGATTGTATTTTCGAAATCCCATCTTATTCTGTGTTTTTCTGGCAGTAGTAACGGACCTGATTGGGCAAGAAGGGAGGCAAAAGAAGTGACGGGAAAATGTTTTTCCACATAGTGCTGGAGCGAAATATGCAGCTGCATCCACGATACTTTGGTCGTAACCTTCGTGATAATCTTGTTTCCAAATTAATGAAAGACGTGGAAGGCACTTGCAGGTGATTCCCCTTATGGGGGCATTCGAAAATAGTGGTTGAAAATGGCATGTTGTAGTTTTACCCAGTTATACAAGTTATTATATAATTTAGATCAGAGAAAAGTATTTATCCGTAAGTGACTGATTTGAACCTTGGATGAATATAACATTTGGATTTGGATTTTCAACTATTATGCAGTGGTCGACATGGATTTGTGGTGGCAGTTACAGGGATTGAAAACGTAGGGAAAGGGTTAATTCGTGATGGTACAGGGTTTGTGACATTTCCTGTTAAGTACCAGTGTGTTGTCTTCAGACCATTTAAGGGGGAGATCGTAGAAGCTGTTGTTACCATGGTGAACAAGGTTTATGCAATTCTTTTCTCTTTAGGGTAATTAAACTATGTAATTCTAATATGTGGAGATTGTAGTTTATGACTGTTGAGCTATATTTGTACAGATGGGATTTTTTGGTGAAGCTGGACCTGTCCAAATCTTTGTTTCAAACCACGTAAGTTTGTCTTCAATAATCGGAGAAATGGTCTTTATTATCTACATGTTATATCTAAAAGGTTGTTAGTATTGTTCTTCATTTTGAATAGTAAAGATGTTTTTTTTATTGGAATATTATCCTAGTTTTTAATTTTGAACACTAAAATTGTATTTGTCATTTATTATTTGCTATTTGCTACTACTACGTAGTTTAATTTATACTGTGGTGATTGTAGACTTGCAAACCATCTTAAATTCTAGATCTCAACGAACTCTCTTTGTTTTACCTTCTCAAATCGTTATATCTCTGTTGTTTTTAGAATTACCAAGGATTATTTTCTGTTCCTTTTCTATTTTCTTAAAATTAAATTAACATAGACTCTGTCATTTCATTGCAATGAAAAAGTTTTATCTTGTTACTCGTACATTTTTATATAATTTTTGTTTATTAAGATATCTTTTATCTTCCCTATTAGTTGATTCCGGATGATATGGAGTTCCAGTCTGGAGACATGCCAAATTACACTACTTCAGATGGATCAGTATGTATCATTTATAACTTCCATAATGTAAAACAGTAGAGAATTTTCTTTTTTATTTGTTGTCATTTGTTTTTCATCTTATGATTATTTTTACTATCAATTTTGTCTTTTGCAGGTTAAGATTCAAAAAGATAGTGAAGTTAGACTAAAGATAATTGGGACTCGAGTGGATGCTACTGAAATTGTAAGAATATATATGTGTATGTATGTATGAATATATGTGTATGTATATATGTATATGTATATCATGTTTTTTACTTTATTTTTTTGAATACTGTCAAGATCCATCAGCTTTATCCAAAATTGTGCTTTGAGAAATTTGAATAAATCGAAAAGCATTTTAGCTCTGTAGCAGATGTAGCTTTTTGTTTCTCTGCAAATTTTCTACTCTATTTTGAATTCTTCCCAAAAGAGCCACTGTGTTTTGCTAATTTTAATTTTAGCTCATGCACTGGCTTAGCAGTAGTATTTGTGCATATCATGAAAGCCGTTATATGTTTACATCTCTAGGATGGTAGTTTTTACTTGGTTTGTTTGTAATTTACTGTTTTGGCAACTCTATAATCACTATTGAACTTCATCCATTTCAAAAGTTATTTGCAAAGTTCTAGCTACCCTGAGGAAATTATAAATTTGACATATTTCTTTGGTATGCAAGAATCGTGACAGTTCCATGGTGCAGCTTTACTTTATTTCTAAAATCTTGATCGTTGTGACTCGCAAAAGTTGAGAAAATTGAAATCACAAATTCTCCAGTTGCTGCATGCAACGAGAATGATGATACTTTTACCACATTGTTTGCCTTACCTGTTGACTGAATTGTTCCTTCCATGATTATCTTGTATGCCATGTTTGATGATGTCTTCAAATAACTCTTGACATGCCTTTCAGCCTAATGTCAGTTTTAGCAAGTATATGATACAAGGATTCATGCTGGCTAATGAAGTTTTATTACTACTGCACATGCTTAGCCCATGTTTTCCTTCCCTTTGGTTGTATGGCTATAGATATGAGCTGTGACACTGTTCAGTTTTAAAATGGAAAGTACAGTGATACAAATCGCTTTTACATTTTGGATATTGAATGTTTATCTGATTTACAGTTTCTAAGTGTTCTAGAACCCGTTTTTCTAATAATGCATATTTTTTTTCTTTTTGCAGTTCTGCATAGGTACCATAAAAGATGACTTTCTGGGTGTGATCAACGATCCTACAACAGTTTAAACACCCCTTACTGTATCATTCTGTTGAAAATAGGAGCATTTAATGATTGTTACTTTTCTAACAAGCATAGTTGTCGTGTTTAGTTAAGTTCAATGTATCCTTAGAAGTAGTTCTCCTGAAAATAGTAGTAGTTATTTTGTTATCATTGTATTATTTTATTATTATATATAGATCACTCTTCTGAGTGAAAAACCTACTATCGATATTTAGAAAATAAATATTGTTTCTCTATTCTCGTATTGTATCAAAGTTCTCGATTTAAGGGGATTTTTCTTCTACTACAATGCAATTTAAAATATATTTTCCCAACATATATACATATTATATTATAATTCACAAAGTTATATACAGTTAAAAGTTAAGTGAAGTTCTATATCCTCCTTTAGCATCCAACTAAACTAGCCATCTTAGTACTCGTGTTTTAATTGCTACTCAAATTTAAGCGACACAATCATTGCATTGCTTGTCTTCTAACACTTAGCCTACTCGTTTTAGCCAAGTTTACAAGTCAAATCAACCCATATAAAATCATTTAACAAATCACTAATCTATGCTAAGACATAGCACCAAGTTGACACTCTACTGGTCCACAACCATTCAAATTGCATAAAATATCCCATCTTTAAAGTTAATCTCATCATGGATATACACTGTTAGTTCCACTGAACTTGTTCACATTGAGGGTGTATTAGGATTGTATTGAAAGCTTTCAAACGTCAATTTGCTTTTTCCAATACACTAAATGGAGATGGAGCTACTGAAAAGAGCAACTTTTTCTCAAACGCACATTCAACATTAGAGAAAACAGAAAAATGATGAACAAACTTCTATGTAAGAAACCCAGGCAGTGAGCATGAAGTTAGAAACTTGTCACGTTCAAATTAGACAAAACTAACCTTTATGGCATTCCATCAATCCAGAACCCACAAGAAAATTTTGTGTAAATGAATTAGAACTAAATCTACAATCTAAAAGTAGCTAGAGGGTATAGTTAAAGAAAGCTTATTGTTACACGGTAGAGTTTGTTGGTCCTATGTCTTTCCTTCATGAACACTACATTAGGACTAATTTAATCATTGATGGCAAAGTCCAAAAATATTCCTTCTCTATTCCTTTTGTCTCTTGTGCACAGCACGACACTCTCCTTCCAGCTCCAAAACAAGAATAGCACATTCAACAGTTAAAGGGTATTAAAAAGGGGGAATTATAGCAACAAGATCAAACAAAGAAGTACCATCTTCTCCTAAGAAAACAGTGGCTAAAATTGACAAGCCCAGATAAGCATTGCATTACCTAACCATTTATTCTCCACAATACTCCCTTCCAAATGCTACTGAGCATCATCATTTTGGACTCTACCTCTCACCCTTTTCCTCCTTCAAAAAGTCCCTTTGGCCACACATCCAGCGACCCTGCTTTTCCCTATACTAACTTTCACCATTTTTCTCCTTGGCATCTTCTCCAACACCAGTCGATTCTAATCTCTGTTGCTATCATCAGGAATCAGTAACATGCACCCAAACGAAAAAAATAAACTATGAACAGCTAAAAATGATTATCTCCTATACATGCACTCCCTTGTATTGTATACCACTTCCAACCCACTCCATGCCAAACCCCACCAAAATATAAAGAACACCCCAACTTCATTTTTTACTCACTGCCAAATGGGTAGGCAAGCTAATTATCCTACTACCACTGTGAACTCCTCCATTGCTCTTCTTCAAGAAAGGTTTAGACAGTTGGAGAAGGTCAAAGAAAGAAGAGAGGGCAAACAACTCCTTAAACTCTTATCATCTGAGAACACTTCATCATCTATTATGCAGAACCCCTCATCACAGAACTCTCAACAACAACAACAACAACCAAGAATTGTGCCTCCTCTACATAGGCCAATTCTCCATGATTCTCTTTCTCTTGGCCTCAACTTCTCCACACAAGGTGATCACAACACCATGAACACGAAACCACCACCTTCCTCCAATCTATGGCCTCAGGGATCACCAACATCAAGAAATTTTGATACCTCAGACGTTGATACTTCTCTTCATCTGTAAATATGTTTACTACTACTACTACTTGTCTCTGCTTCCCTGGTACCTATATAGATGTATAATAATAACCCTGTGTTCTGCATCTTTTTGTATCAGTAATCAAGGAGGATTTGTATCAGTTATGCTTCTTTTTTTCCCTCGAAAGTATGTGAATAACTTGTGTAATTCGTTTTCATAGGCCAGAAAATTGAATTTTGGGGTTGCATGTTCTCAAAAACATAACTTATTATTCCGTAGTTAATTCACAGATTCTTGTTTTCATCGAATGTTAAATTGTTTTTTCGAAAAAATAATATACAATATGAGTCATTGTCTAACTCATACATGTATTTGTGAGTTATGATTTTGTGATATACTGATATGACTAATCTTATGTGAGACTGGAAATTTGATCCCTTTCCAATATTTCTGCATTCATTGAAATTATAAAAAAAACAACAACTTTTATTTTTAAGGCTAACAATTCTCATATTTGTTAATATTTAAAACTTAAAAAATTGTATGAAATATGCAAAGACATGGATGCATCATGCTGTACTCAAATATCAAATCACGCACTTATATATTCAGACACACAAACACGACAATTATATTATGCTCTTTATGTATTTGGCAGTATCTCAAGGTGGCTTATTAAACTTATTTCTCATAATATTGAACACAGAAAATATACTACATGCCATATTGTTGATTTCTAATGAAATTTTTTTTAAACATTCGACAATATTTTTGAGTTTGAAACAATTTTCACTCGGAAAAGTGTAAATATATATTTATTTATGATGATTTCTTTAATGAAAGAATGTGGACAATCTTTAAGAAATTAATTACAAATTTCAAGGGTTTTCATAAATTATTTTTCTCTGTTTTTTTAAGAGATATGTCTAAAAGATATATCCTAATTCAACTCAAAAATTTTAATTTTTTAGTTATTTTTCTTCTTTTCTTCATTGACGAGAGAGCAAAAAAATGTGTTATTTTTTTCATAATACTATTTATGTTTGTCGTTTTACTAAGACAACCATCAAATAACACCATTTATTAACATTGACATAATTATTTCTCTTATAATTTTGATTTAATTTAAGGATAATGATTTTCATGTCTAAGCTATGGCAGAAAATTGATGAAAGTTTCCGTTTATAAAATAATAAATTTATATTTTGATGATTTGCATCAATAACTAACATTACAGACTAGTTTTACACCATCATTACATAGAATATTTATTTTCTCATAATACTATGGAAATATGGACTTCGCAAACGTGTATTTATACTTTTATTATTTTAAAACAAAAAATGTTAAAAATATTTAATTTTATTAATTTTCTAAACTAGTGATTGAAAATAGAAAAAATATAATTTAAAAATTATATATGTATAGTTTTGTAAAAATAATAATAAAAAGTATTCAACATTTAGTTATAAAAGGAAAAATTATTTAAATATTTTAAAATAGAGAAAAGGTAGTCAATTATTTATTTTACTAAACAAATAAATTATTATTTATATTATTTAATTTTATTAAATAAATATTTTTTTATTTATCAATATCATTTCATTATACAAAGAGGAGACACAATAACTTCATTTTGTATTATATTTTAATTAGATAATTTTACTATTTCATAAATAAAAATAATTTATTTATTTAATAAAAATACATAACTAAATATATTTTTAATTAAAATTAATTAAATAATTTCTTTTGGCTACATAGTTTATTTAATACTGTTTCCATAAGTTATATATGTTTTTTAAATAATATTAATTTTCTCCTTTTAATTATCATAGAAATAATAAAATTTATTTCTTCATATAATAAAAATATAATGTATATTGTTGTTAGTTATAATATTAAATTTTTTTAATTAACAGATGACAAAAAAATTAGTTAAAGATGTTTTTCTTATAATAATATAAATATAAATTTAAAAAAAAACCGGTCAAAAACCCCGAAACCGGAAATAACTTAGAGGAATTTGTCGGAACTAGTAGTATCCAGAAGCTTCGAACTCCATATTTTGATGAACACAACCAATTCAAAACCCTTCTAAAACCCTACCATTTCCCTGCTTAACGAATCCCTCTATCGTGCTTGTGGCTACAATCTTCTTCTCTCATCTCTTCTTTCTCTCATCAATTCACTATGCACAGACTCTCCACCACTGCTCGTTCTTCTTCCGTCTCCGCCTTGTTGCGCTATGGCGGCGCACTTCGAAGGGACGTTGTTGCTCCCATTTCCTCTTCTCAGTTAACTAAGGTGTCCTTTTAGTTCATCTTTCTCCCTTTATGAATTGCTCTTCGGTTTGATTTTTAATTTCATAATCCCTAGCTTGCTATTCATTCCTCATTTGCTTCAGTAACCAGGTCGATATTTTTCAGTCAGTGATTCTGTTTGTTTTTATAATACTTTGGACAGACGTACTATATTTATAGAAACTTTAATATATTATGTAGTGTTAGTTTATCTGATGTTCGTGAGATAACAAACACGTGTTGCAACCATTTTGAAATATTGTCGGCTTTTGTGTGTCCCTTTTGTTTTGCTTGTGAGGAGCAGGTGAGTGAGAAGGACACCCAAGCTAGATGGTTTTCTATTCTGGGCACGGACAAGTCCAGCACAATTGAATCTGAAAATCATCCAAACTTGAGAAGAGATTTGTTCTTGGGTAGACGATGTGAATCAACTGCTGCAGAATCTTCTGCTTCTAGTTCCACACCTGCCGAGAGATATGAATACCAAGCTGAGGTACGGCTGTTTTTCATGTTGTATGGTTTCTAGTTCATTTTTATGGTTTTCCTTGAGCTTAACTTTGGATAATATGCATCATTGGCAGGTTAGTCGGCTCATGGACCTCATTGTTAACAGTTTATACAGTAACAAAGAAGTGTTTCTTAGGGAACTTATTAGGTATGCTCTTTCATAGTTGTAGATTTTTTTTGGTACTACTACTATTTGCATATTTATTGTCTGGAAACCTTTTTGGCTGAAGTAGACTTGGTTCGTTTTTGCTGGTGATCCTATATAGAATTATGTTGTTAGAGCATTTGTGTTTAGATGGTGTGAATACATTTATCTATATTAATTAATGTTATACTAACAATTGCATTTAAGGGTATGTCCTGGTTGTGGCAAGTGATTTCATGCAGATATACTACAATTACTTTCAGGATCTGTTTTGAATAAATTATTCAAGCTTGTCCTTCAACCTTTTAGGAGACTATTTTTAAGAAGGGAGTTATGTATGTAACTGCGTGTTGCCCAATCTGCTAATCTATATATTTTTATGTACAGCAATGCAAGTGATGCTTTGGATAAGCTGCGATTTCTGAGTGTAACAGAGCCTGGACTGTTGAAGGATGCAGTTGATTTTGATATCCGAATTCAAACTGATAAGGATAATGGGATCATATCTATTACGTAAGAGAAATAACTTTGATTTTATATTTAATATACTATTATAATCTCAGTTGGTGCTGCAACATATGTTATATGCAGTGATACAGGCATTGGTATGACTAGGCAAGAGCTAGTTGATTGCCTTGGAACTATTGCTCAAAGTGGAACTGCAAAGTTTTTGAAGGCTCTGAAGGTCTTAACTTCTTTTGATATATGCTTTAAGATTTTATCATCTTTATTTGCTTTCTAATTCATGTATATTACCTTCTGACAAATGTCTATCTTTTAAAAGGATAGCAAGGATGCTGGTGGTGACAACAACTTAATTGGGCAGTTTGGTGTGGGATTTTATTCTGCTTTCCTGGTTTCTGATCGGGTATGAATTTGTGTAAAAGTAAATATGTCATGGTCTTTTATTTTTTTGTTTAATTTGGTAGTTATATCAATTTGTGTTGTTTGAAGGTGGTTGTCTCGACAAAGAGTCCAAAATCTGATAAGCAATACATCTGGGAAGGGGAGGCAAATGCTAGCTCATATACCATAACTGAGGAAACAGATCCTGAGAAGCTGATTCCAAGAGGAACTCGTCTTACTCTTTATCTCAAGGTATGTTGGTAATCATCTTTTTTTTAACATTAAGTAATTATTTAAGTTTTCTTTTTCCCGATCTTACAAAAGTGATTTTATTATGCCCATTGCTACCTTTCAGAGGGATGACAAAGGTTTTGCTCATCCAGAGCGTATTGAAAAGCTTGTGAAAAACTATTCACAATTTGTCTCGTTCCCAATATACACTTGGCAGGAAAAGGGATTCACCAAAGAAGTATGGCAATTTAACATAGATCTTTTCAGTTTGATGGCACTATCTATGATGATATTACTTCTCTTGAGTTAATTTCATCATCCACTGGATTTTATTTTAGTATTGACTTCTTTAGTTTTAAATGAATTTTGTTCTCATTCTAGGTGGAAGTTGAGGAGGATACGGAGGAAGCTAAAAAGGATGATCAAGATGGGAAGACTGAGGTAACATTCTGATTGTTCTGCGTATGTGCTGTATCCAGTGTTTTCATTGATGTGAATGTGTAATTGTGTACCTTCTGCAAAGGAAGACTGAGGTAACATTCACTAGTGACTTTGACACATTGTCATGACAGAAAAAGAAGAAAACTAAAACTGTTGTTGAGAAGTACTGGGATTGGGAACTGACAAATGAGACCCAACCAATCTGGGTGAGTTTTATGATTTCCAATTTCATGAGTTGCACTCAAATATTTAGAAAATTATTAATTGAATAAAGTGGAATTACTTTATTTTTGCAGCTCCGCAATCCTAAAGAAGTCACTAAAGAGGAGTACAATGAATTCTACAAGAAAACTTTTAATGAATACTTGGAGCCATTAGCATCCTCACACTTTACCACAGAGGTAAGGATTTTATGGTCTCAAGTGCCACCTTGTTGTGCATAAGGGATACCTTTATTTGTTAATGAAAATTCAGAGTTTGGCTGAAAAACTAGATTGATAATGTCAATTTTTCACCATATTCCTGGGGAGGTTCATAGTCTTACAGATAATAATTGTGATGGTTATTTTTATTGATACGTGATGGTTGTTATTTCAGGGTGAAGTAGAATTTAGATCTATACTTTTCGTTCCAGCCTTTGCTCCCTCAGGGAAGGATGACATAATCAATCCCAAGACCAAGAATATAAGACTTTATGTGAAGAGAGTGTTCATTTCAGATGACTTTGATGGAGAACTGGTATAAGCATTTTGCTATCTACATTCTACAACCTCGAGTATCTGGTTGCTATTATCAAAATTGAATTATGGTGGGCTTATGTGTTTGTTGAACAGTTCCCTCGATACTTGAGCTTTGTCAAAGGTGTTGTTGACTCAAATGACCTCCCACTTAATGTGTCACGTGAAATTCTTCAAGAGAGCCGCATAGTAAGTAGATAGGGCAATGTGAATAAGCTTGATGTTTACATCTGGATCTCTATTTTATCATACCAGTTATGCCTTAATTTTTTCTGTAATGCTTGAAGGTGCGGATTATGAGGAAACGTTTAGTTCGGAAAGCTTTTGACATGATTCTGGGAATATCCATGAGTGAGAACAGAGAGGTATATTATTATTCTGAAAATTGTTCATTGTATACACAGTTTTCTTTTATTATTTTTGAAGTTGTAGGGTAGCTAGGAAAAATTTAGGTGTAGGAGTATCAACATTATATATATATATATATATATATATATATATATATATAATCATTTATTTTAGGTCTCTTTTTATATAACTGCTCTTGATAAAAGGGTGGTCTTTTTGTTAGTAGTTTACCAGATGACTTGTTCCTGTATGCAGGATTATGAAAAATTCTGGGAGAACTTTGGCAAACACTTGAAATTGGGTTGCATTGAAGACCGTGAGAATCACAAACGTATTGCTCCATTGCTTCGCTTTTTCTCATCCCAAAGTGAGGAAGAACTGATTGGCTTGGATGAATATGTGGAGAACATGAAACCTGATCAAAAGGATATTTATTATATTGCTTCTGACAGTGTGACTAGTGCGAAGAACACCCCTTTCTTGGAGAAACTTGGGGAGAAGGATCTTGAAGTAATCTTTGTTTTCTTTTTAGACTTTACAACTTTGCATCTTTTAAGTACTTATTTCTATCAGTTAATACGTATATTGGTGTTTTTTGTTGTGTAATTTTTCAGGTTCTGTTTTTGGTGGATCCAATAGATGAGGTTGCCATTCAAAACCTTAAATCATACAAGGAAAAGAATTTTGTTGACATTAGCAAAGAAGACTTGGATCTAGGTTTAACTTCTTTCTTTAAACTTCCTCAATAATTTGATTAGACAAACACTCGCGTTTAGTTTACCAAATATTTCTTAGTCTCTCTGGCAAATCTTACTGTCGACAATGGTGTGAATTCATAGCTTTGTTTTTTATTGTTCAAGTTTGTTACCCATTTGTTGTTTCTTTAGGTGATAAGAATGAGGAAAAGGAAAAAGAAATGAAGCAGGAATTTGGCCAAACATGTGACTGGATCAAGAAGCGACTGGGAGAAAAAGTTGCAAGTGTGCAAATTTCAAACCGACTTAGCTCTTCACCTTGTGTTCTGGTGTCTGGGAAATTTGGTTGGTCTGCAAACATGGAAAGGTTGTCCTCTTTTCTTAGATTGATCGTGTATTTTGAACGTTTAAGTAACAATGTGCAGCATGTAACCAAACTTGTTGCAGGCTGATGAAGGCACAGAGTATGGGTGATGCATCCAGCTTGGAATTCATGAGGAGCAGAAGGGTGTTTGAGATCAACCCTGACCATGCCATTATCAGGAATTTGGATGTAAGATAAATGGACAATTTCCATTTCTTCGTCATGATTACAAATTGAAATTATGATAACGCAATCAAATGGGTATTTTCAGGCTGCATATAAAACGAATCCCAATGATGAAGATGCCCTCAGAGCTATCGATCTTTTGTATGATGCAGCTTTGGTTTCCAGTGGTTTTACGGTGAGCTCATGCTTGATATTATTATTAAGAATGTCGTTTGAGTTTCCTTTGTGAAGTCCTTAAGTCGTATCTTTTGACTGGTTGTTGGCGTGCAGCCTGATAATCCAGCACAACTTGGAGGGAAGATATACGAGATGATGGGTATGGCTCTTACAGGTAAATGGTCGACTCCTGATCAGTTCCAGTCCACTGTAGCGCAGCCCCATATCCCAGAAACTGTAGAAGCTGAGGTTGTCGAACCTACTGAGGCTGGCAGTCAGAAGTGAGAGGACAGTCATATGGACATTTTTGTCTTTTCCCGTTCGCTTTCTGTTCTTTCTTTCAAAGCTGTTTGCTTATAGGTGAAGTTGTATTCTTGAGGAACGTGGGTGTTGGTAGTAACCATTTATAGATATATCATGAGGAATTCAGTGGCAATGGAAGCACGTGTTATTTCATCCTTTCAGTTGTTTAGTTAGTCAAAACCATTGCCAAGTATCATATTTTTATTAGTTTTTCTTTTGTTCATATTAATTTGGATAAAGATTTCTTACGGCAGCATTTGACATAAGAATGACTGCCCTAGAACAGTTGCTACTGCTGTGATTTGGTACCTGCGCGGTGGTCCATTATTAGTTTGGATTGTGGGGGCTGTCAACTGGGCACTATTAAAGTTACATTTTTTTTCTAAAAATAAAGCGGTCTTTTTGGTGAATGCATTGTCGTTTTCAACACCCAAAATAAATTGAATATTGAACCATAGTACGGTAAATGTGATTATGTGATTGAACATTTTATAATTTAGGACATTTTCAGGATAAATTCAAAATAATAGATTTTAAATAAGTTCAGGTATGGATGATAACATGTGTTCAAAAATACTAACTTACTAAAGGGAGATGTATTTTAAATTACTTGAGTTAAAAATAATTAGCTGAAATTATTTGAAAAAATGTTTTCAATATTTTAAAAAAAATAACTTTAAATACCACTTACATTGGTTATAGAACTTCAATGCATTTATTACTGTACATTATATCGTTTTTACTCCCGAATTATTAAACGGAAATGTAAGTTCAACAGAGAAACACATTAACTTTTCAATGACGTATTTCATTATTTTAACAAACCGTGCAATAAGTCGGCGTGCCACTCATTGGTTGTGGCCACTTAGTAACCATATGGAAATAGTGCTAACAGAACACTCCAAGTCTCTTCACACTTTTTTTTAACATCTATTTACTATTTGTTAAAATCCATGTAGGTCCTACTACTTTAGGGATGAAACTCACCGAGTGACAAATAAGACCCATTAGGACCCGCATAAATTATACTGCAATTCATTGGCATGTGAGCTGTATAGACAAATATGAACACCCAATAGGTAGAATGAGTTGTGTGCATGATGGTTTGCCGGACCCCCAATTTGATTGAAGCTACTCTTCAGTTCATGATAAATAAACCCAACATATGGAACGTGCACTCCGATGTTATATCATATAGATTCCCTGCAGGGCACAACACTAATATTCAAATTTAGTAAAGGGTGATGATGCAAAAGTCTGTAGCTATGCATAAGGGTAAGTTACTCAGTGGAAACACAGCGGAAGCACAGATGCATTTGACACAAGGACTGGAAACGGTTAGCTTAGCCTTGCTGAATAAGATACAGTAGCATTCAGTGGGACCGAAAATTTAAAATCAAAGCGTTCAAAAAATTGAGTTAGGGTTGTATATAACACTGCCATTTGCCGCAGTGGCAAGTTGGTCGTGACGATGCTGCAAAGAGCACATAAGGAATTGAGAGAATGAGAAATTAGAAAGAACAGTAATTGTTTTTCTTTTTTTTGGAAAGTAATGATAGAGTAACATCATCCCCCCAGAAGAAATGTTACTCCTATAAAACTCACTTCCTTAAAAAACTCTACCTTAAAATCTCTCCCACTTCTTACCCACAAACAACAAAACCCAATGGTTATTGGGGCAATCATTTATGAACTAAATTTTAGTCTCCCTGAAATGCAATTACAAACAACTGTGTATTTAACACCAGATGCATATTAGTACAATTGAAACTGATGATAAAATTAGGTGACATGCAGACTCAAATATTTCGATGCTCAGAGATTCACCTATGCTGATGAGATTGAAAATCAACAGAATAATAATCTTAAAAACTGAAACAAAGTAGTTCAATATGAAACAGAAAATAAGGAACAACTTCCCATGAACAGAACAAAGCAGGGTGTTCCACAAAATTTATCAAGATATGGAATACAATTTGAATGATGGACATCCTCTTTGGTCAAAAGATACCTTCTGTAATTACATTATTGCCTGTTGATACAGTATAGCATGGCTTTTATGGTACTCACGATGAATTTGAAAGTGTGGGTGAATGAGATGCATTTCAGACTACAGAATTCAGCTTACGTGGGCTTCTATCTTAAAGTGAATTTTAGGCATAGTAAAGAGATATAGGAAGTGTTGAATCTATGATTTAGATGAATCTATGCTTACCTGCTCAAGTTCTCAAATCAAATCTTTCTGAGCGAGGATCACCAAGGAAAATGCTGAGTAAATTTTAAGTGTTGAATCACAATTATCCACGCTAGCATTCAATCAACTTAATGCCTGTTGGTAAAAAATCGGGTAAGGTGTGTCAATGATATAAAGTTTATTCGAGGGAAAATGAATCAATTCGCGAAAAGCAAAACTTGGGCCTTACTATTGGAGAAAAGTAATTATATGAAGGCAAAAAGAACAAATGGTCTTCCTCAATAAGACTGATACAAAACAGAACGCCTAGCTCAACCCAGCTACGCCCCTTTACTTTTAGACTGATACAGAAGTAATACTTTCGCACAACAACACTCACTAACTGCTTTGGATTCCACAAAACTTCTTTCTCACATTCTGCATCCACTCTGGTGGCATGAGCTCATTCCTACTCTAGGTCCGATCCAAGATTGTCAAACTAAAGATCCTACCCAAGATTGGAAGAAGAGAGGAAACGTACAAATCATGGGATCGTAAATTGACTGAAAAGTTCTACTAAAACTAAGAAACTGAACTAGAGGGAAAGGGGGTGCTATGAAGCACAAAAAACCTCTCCAACTTACATTTATAGAGCCTCTGTATATTTTCGCAATGTTCCTTATTTTGCAGTCTCAGCCCAACCTAACAAGCTAACGAACTCAATAATGACTAATACTAATAGGCATAAAACATTATCCAGCACAAAAGTTGCCTAGCCTCAAATACCAAGGAATGCTTAGTAGATCATGCATTTCCTACTGAGCACAATGGGACCAAAACAAAGAAAAGATATCAAAGAACAAGTAGCACAAATTGAAACATACCCAAGTTATCTTTGGCAGAAATCATCATCTTTTCCAAATTTTGAGCAGCCTCAGTCATCCCGTGGGTGTTGTATGCCTGGATCATGCAAGCAAAAGTGATGCCATCAGGTTCACATTTTCTTTCTCTCATGGCCATGAATAACTCGCTCATCTTTTTTAGGTCACCAGCCTGCCCATAGGCGCTAATTATGCAATTAAAGAAGGGAGTATCCAATACTACACCAGAATTATCAACATGCCTCATAATTGACTCAACTTTGTCAATACGTCCAACTTTGCTATATGCACTGACAAGTGAGCAATAAGTAATAGAATTAGGCTTCACTCCAAGATGCTTCATTTTTAGAAAGTATTGATCCATCTTCTCAATTTCTCCAGCTTTGCCAAACACCTCGATGACAGTATTATACGTGACAACTGTTGGAGTGAAAAACCTTCTTCCCATGAAATCCATGACAGTCTTCATCTTCTTATACATGCCAGCTTTTCCATAGGACTTTATCATCAAATTGAATGTTGTTATGTCTGGTTTTATGCCCATTAGCTGAAATTCATCATACCACTTCTCCATCTTATCAATTTGCCCATCCTTTCCAAGTGCCCCAACAAAAGAATTCAGCGTGAAAACATCTGGGTGGCAGTTGCCATTTTCAATCATATCATTCAATGTATTATCCATCTGTTCAAACATGCCAGCCTTACCATAACCATCAATTATGGAATTATACGTCACAGAGTTACATTGGATGCCCAGAAATGACATCTCCGCAAGGACATGTTCAATCAAATCAAAACGATGAAATTTTGCACAGCAACTGACAAGAATAGAATATGTATATATATCTGGTTCGCAGTCAACAACCGATTTCATATCTTCAACAATAGAAAGTGCCTGATCAAGGAGACCGCTATGACCGTAAGCACTTACAAGAGCAGTGTAGACATCAACAGTAGGTTTCAGCCCTTCAGAAAACATGATCTCAAAGAGATGAGAAGCCTCTTCAGGCTGCCTGCACTTGCCAAGCATCATCAACAGTTTTGCATATGTTTGGCATCGTGGTTCGTACCAGCATTGCTTTCGAAGAAGTGCAAAAATCTGCAAAAGGAAACAAGTCCTACTTCAGACACAACTGAGCACAAATATTAATCCTAAAATCAATTGCAGTCACGTTTCCCGGCCTAAACAAAATCTACTCATGTCTTACATTCATAGACTACGAAATATTTCAAATTCAAAGCAGCCCTAGGTTTTTGCCAAAGAAATCTAAGATTGCATGAAGGCAAAATGAACCAGGTGAACGATTGAATCAAGATTTGTCGCTCAAAAATAAAGATTTACATAACTCTCCAAGTCATGCCCATTTGGAAAAATTTCACGGTCACACTCAAGATGAAAAGTTAAACAGTAAATACAAAGCATCACATGATATTGTTCGAATTAAACACCTGGCAAGTTTCCAGAACAGCACACTTTACATACTACTCTCAACTGTCCACAAAACCAACAGTCACTACAAAATTTAATAACCCCAAGAATAGCTCAATCTAGTCAATATAACACAGCTGACCATAGCATTGCACTCAATCCAAAAGTTAATTCTCAAAACATGTAGATGAATTAAAGGCAGATGAAACCATCATCCCCCATCATTATAAACTCAGTGCAGGGGCTAAATTATCCCTAATTTGATTATTTGAATAACTCAGTGTCCACTTAAGTGTGTTCATTGTTCTATATCCCGCTCAAAAAAAAAAAAAAAACAAAGTCAATCTCCCACCAATGAAGGTTGGGTCCATTCCCGCAGAAAATCCCAACATCACGGAAGTGTCTAAATTTAGAATTGCACAGCATCTAAAACAAAAATTGTCTTTGCCTCAAGAGAGGATTGCCAACGACGGCGTTTGATGGCGTCATCTAGGGCNTATATATATATATATATATATAATCATTTATTTTAGGTCTCTTTTTATATAACTGCTCTTGATAAAAGGGTGGTCTTTTTGTTAGTAGTTTACCAGATGACTTGTTCCTGTATGCAGGATTATGAAAAATTCTGGGAGAACTTTGGCAAACACTTGAAATTGGGTTGCATTGAAGACCGTGAGAATCACAAACGTATTGCTCCATTGCTTCGCTTTTTCTCATCCCAAAGTGAGGAAGAACTGATTGGCTTGGATGAATATGTGGAGAACATGAAACCTGATCAAAAGGATATTTATTATATTGCTTCTGACAGTGTGACTAGTGCGAAGAACACCCCTTTCTTGGAGAAACTTGGGGAGAAGGATCTTGAAGTAATCTTTGTTTTCTTTTTAGACTTTACAACTTTGCATCTTTTAAGTACTTATTTCTATCAGTTAATACGTATATTGGTGTTTTTTGTTGTGTAATTTTTCAGGTTCTGTTTTTGGTGGATCCAATAGATGAGGTTGCCATTCAAAACCTTAAATCATACAAGGAAAAGAATTTTGTTGACATTAGCAAAGAAGACTTGGATCTAGGTTTAACTTCTTTCTTTAAACTTCCTCAATAATTTGATTAGACAAACACTCGCGTTTAGTTTACCAAATATTTCTTAGTCTCTCTGGCAAATCTTACTGTCGACAATGGTGTGAATTCATAGCTTTGTTTTTTATTGTTCAAGTTTGTTACCCATTTGTTGTTTCTTTAGGTGATAAGAATGAGGAAAAGGAAAAAGAAATGAAGCAGGAATTTGGCCAAACATGTGACTGGATCAAGAAGCGACTGGGAGAAAAAGTTGCAAGTGTGCAAATTTCAAACCGACTTAGCTCTTCACCTTGTGTTCTGGTGTCTGGGAAATTTGGTTGGTCTGCAAACATGGAAAGGTTGTCCTCTTTTCTTAGATTGATTGTGTATTTTGAACGTTTAAGTAACAATGTGCAGCATGTAACCAAACTTGTTGCAGGCTGATGAAGGCACAGAGTATGGGTGATGCATCCAGCTTGGAATTCATGAGGAGCAGAAGGGTGTTTGAGATCAACCCTGACCATGCCATTATCAGGAATTTGGATGTAAGATAAATGGACAATTTCCATTTCTTCGTCATGATTACAAATTGAAATTATGATAACGCAATCAAATGGGTATTTTCAGGCTGCATATAAAACGAATCCCAATGATGAAGATGCCCTCAGAGCTATCGATCTTTTGTATGATGCAGCTTTGGTTTCCAGTGGTTTTACGGTGAGCTCATGTTTGATATTATTATTAAGAATGTCGTTTGAGTTTCCTTTGTGAAGTCCTTAAGTCGTATCTTTTGACTGGTTGTTGGCGTGCAGCCTGATAATCCAGCACAACTTGGAGGGAAGATATACGAGATGATGGGTATGGCTCTTACAGGTAAATGGTCGACTCCTGATCAGTTCCAGTCCACTGTAGCGCAGCCCCATATCCCAGAAACTGTAGAAGCTGAGGTTGTCGAACCTACTGAGGCTGGCAGTCAGAAGTGAGAGGACAGTCATATGGACATTTTTGTCTTTTCCCGTTCGCTTTCTGTTCTTTCTTTCAAAGCTGTTTGCTTATAGGTGAAGTTGTATTCTTGAGGAACGTGGGTGTTGGTAGTAACCATTTATAGATATATCATGAGGAATTCAGTGGCAATGGAAGCACGTGTTATTTCATCCTTTCAGTTGTTTAGTTAGTCAAAACCATTGCCAAGTATCATATTTTTATTAGTTTTTCTTTTGTTCATATTAATTTGGATAAAGATTTCTTACGGCAGCATTTGACATAAGAATGACTGCCCTAGAACAGTTGCTACTGCTGTGATTTGGTACCTGCGCGGTGGTCCATTATTAGTTTGGATTGTGGGGGCTGTCAACTGGGCACTATTAAAGTTACATTTTTTTTCTAAAAATAAAGCGGTCTTTTTGGTGAATGCATTGTCGTTTTCAACACCCAAAATAAATTGAATATTGAACCATAGTACGGTAAATGTGATTATGTGATTGAACATTTTATAATTTAGGACATTTTCAGGATAAATTCAAAATAATAGATTTTAAATAAGTTCAGGTATGGATGATAACATGTGTTCAAAAATACTAACTTACTAAAGGGAGATGTATTTTAAATTACTTGAGTTAAAAATAATTAGCTGAAATTATTTGAAAAAATGTTTTCAATATTTTAAAAAAAATAACTTTAAATACCACTTACATTGGTTATAGAACTTCAATGCATTTATTACTGTACATTATATCGTTTTTACTCCCGAATTATTAAACGGAAATGTAAGTTCAACAGAGAAACACATTAACTTTTCAATGACGTATTTCATTATTTTAACAAACCGTGCAATAAGTCGGCGTGCCACTCATTGGTTGTGGCCACTTAGTAACCATATGGAAATAGTGCTAACAGAACACTCCAAGTCTCTTCACACTTTTTTTTAACATCTATTTACTATTTGTTAAAATCCATGTAGGTCCTACTACTTTAGGGATGAAACTCACCGAGTGACAAATAAGACCCATTAGGACCCGCATAAATTATACTGCAATTCATTGGCATGTGAGCTGTATAGACAAATATGAACACCCAATAGGTAGAATGAGTTGTGTGCATGATGGTTTGCCGGACCCCCAATTTGATTGAAGCTACTCTTCAGTTCATGATAAATAAACCCAACATATGGAACGTGCACTCCGATGTTATATCATATAGATTCCCTGCAGGGCACAACACTAATATTCAAATTTAGTAAAGGGTGATGATGCAAAAGTCTGTAGCTATGCATAAGGGTAAGTTACTCAGTGGAAACACAGCGGAAGCACAGATGCATTTGACACAAGGACTGGAAACGGTTAGCTTAGCCTTGCTGAATAAGATACAGTAGCATTCAGTGGGACCGAAAATTTAAAATCAAAGCGTTCAAAAAATTGAGTTAGGGTTGTATATAACACTGCCATTTGCCGCAGTGGCAAGTTGGTCGTGACGATGCTGCAAAGAGCACATAAGGAATTGAGAGAATGAGAAATTAGAAAGAACAGTAATTGTTTTTCTTTTTTTTGGAAAGTAATGATAGAGTAACATCATCCCCCCAGAAGAAATGTTACTCCTATAAAACTCACTTCCTTAAAAAACTCTACCTTAAAATCTCTCCCACTTCTTACCCACAAACAACAAAACCCAATGGTTATTGGGGCAATCATTTATGAACTAAATTTTAGTCTCCCTGAAATGCAATTACAAACAACTGTGTATTTAACACCAGATGCATATTAGTACAATTGAAACTGATGATAAAATTAGGTGACATGCAGACTCAAATATTTCGATGCTCAGAGATTCACCTATGCTGATGAGATTGAAAATCAACAGAATAATAATCTTAAAAACTGAAACAAAGTAGTTCAATATGAAACAGAAAATAAGGAACAACTTCCCATGAACAGAACAAAGCAGGGTGTTCCACAAAATTTATCAAGATATGGAATACAATTTGAATGATGGACATCCTCTTTGGTCAAAAGATACCTTCTGTAATTACATTATTGCCTGTTGATACAGTATAGCATGGCTTTTATGGTACTCACGATGAATTTGAAAGTGTGGGTGAATGAGATGCATTTCAGACTACAGAATTCAGCTTACGTGGGCTTCTATCTTAAAGTGAATTTTAGGCATAGTAAAGAGATATAGGAAGTGTTGAATCTATGATTTAGATGAATCTATGCTTACCTGCTCAAGTTCTCAAATCAAATCTTTCTGAGCGAGGATCACCAAGGAAAATGCTGAGTAAATTTTAAGTGTTGAATCACAATTATCCACGCTAGCATTCAATCAACTTAATGCCTGTTGGTAAAAAATCGGGTAAGGTGTGTCAATGATATAAAGTTTATTCGAGGGAAAATGAATCAATTCGCGAAAAGCAAAACTTGGGCCTTACTATTGGAGAAAAGTAATTATATGAAGGCAAAAAGAACAAATGGTCTTCCTCAATAAGACTGATACAAAACAGAACGCCTAGCTCAACCCAGCTACGCCCCTTTACTTTTAGACTGATACAGAAGTAATACTTTCGCACAACAACACTCACTAACTGCTTTGGATTCCACAAAACTTCTTTCTCACATTCTGCATCCACTCTGGTGGCATGAGCTCTTTCCTACTCTAGGTCCGATCCAAGATTGTCAAACTAAAGATCCTACCCAAGATTGGAAGAAGAGAGGAAACGTACAAATCATGGGATCGTAAATTGACTGAAAAGTTCTACTAAAACTAAGAAACTGAACTAGAGGGAAAGGGGGTGCTATGAAGCACAAAAAACCTCTCCAACTTACATTTATAGAGCCTCTGTATATTTTCGCAATGTTCCTTATTTTGCAGTCTCAGCCCAACCTAACAAGCTAACGAACTCAATAATGACTAATACTAATAGGCATAAAACATTATCCAGCACAAAAGTTGCCTAGCCTCAAATACCAAGGAATGCTTAGTAGATCATGCATTTCCTACTGAGCACAATGGGACCAAAACAAAGAAAAGATATCAAAGAACAAGTAGCACAAATTGAAACATACCCAAGTTATCTTTGGCAGAAATCATCATCTTTTCCAAATTTTGAGCAGCCTCAGTCATCCCGTGGGTGTTGTATGCCTGGATCATGCAAGCAAAAGTGATGCCATCAGGTTCACATTTTCTTTCTCTCATGGCCATGAATAACTCGCTCATCTTTTTTAGGTCACCAGCCTGCCCATAGGCGCTAATTATGCAATTAAAGAAGGGAGTATCCAATACTACACCAGAATTATCAACATGCCTCATAATTGACTCAACTTTGTCAATACGTCCAACTTTGCTATATGCACTGACAAGTGAGCAATAAGTAATAGAATTAGGCTTCACTCCAAGATGCTTCATTTTTAGAAAGTATTGATCCATCTTCTCAATTTCTCCAGCTTTGCCAAACACCTCGATGACAGTATTATACGTGACAACTGTTGGAGTGAAAAACCTTCTTCCCATGAAATCCATGACAGTCTTCATCTTCTTATACATGCCAGCTTTTCCATAGGACTTTATCATCAAATTGAATGTTGTTATGTCTGGTTTTATGCCCATTAGCTGAAATTCATCATACCACTTCTCCATCTTATCAATTTGCCCATCCTTTCCAAGTGCCCCAACAAAAGAATTCAGCGTGAAAACATCTGGGTGGCAGTTGCCATTTTCAATCATATCATTCAATGTATTATCCATCTGTTCAAACATGCCAGCCTTACCATAACCATCAATTATGGAATTATACGTCACAGAGTTACATTGGATGCCCAGAAATGACATCTCCGCAAGGACATGTTCAATCAAATCAAAACGATGAAATTTTGCACAGCAACTGACAAGAATAGAATATGTATATATATCTGGTTCGCAGTCAACAACCGATTTCATATCTTCAACAATAGAAAGTGCCTGATCAAGGAGACCGCTATGACCGTAAGCACTTACAAGAGCAGTGTAGACATCAACAGTAGGTTTCAGCCCTTCAGAAAACATGATCTCAAAGAGATGAGAAGCCTCTTCAGGCTGCCTGCACTTGCCAAGCATCATCAACAGTTTTGCATATGTTTGGCATCGTGGTTCGTACCAGCATTGCTTTCGAAGAAGTGCAAAAATCTGCAAAAGGAAACAAGTCCTACTTCAGACACAACTGAGCACAAATATTAATCCTAAAATCAATTGCAGTCACGTTTCCCGGCCTAAACAAAATCTACTCATGTCTTACATTCATAGACTACGAAATATTTCAAATTCAAAGCAGCCCTAGGTTTTTGCCAAAGAAATCTAAGATTGCATGAAGGCAAAATGAACCAGGTGAACGATTGAATCAAGATTTGTCGCTCAAAAATAAAGATTTACATAACTCTCCAAGTCATGCCCATTTGGAAAAATTTCACGGTCACACTCAAGATGAAAAGTTAAACAGTAAATACAAAGCATCACATGATATTGTTCGAATTAAACACCTGGCAAGTTTCCAGAACAGCACACTTTACATACTACTCTCAACTGTCCACAAAACCAACAGTCACTACAAAATTTAATAACCCCAAGAATAGCTCAATCTAGTCAATATAACACAGCTGACCATAGCATTGCACTCAATCCAAAAGTTAATTCTCAAAACATGTAGATGAATTAAAGGCAGATGAAACCATCATCCCCCATCATTATAAACTCAGTGCAGGGGCTAAATTATCCCTAATTTGATTATTTGAATAACTCAGTGTCCACTTAAGTGTGTTCATTGTTCTATATCCCGCTCAAAAAAAAAAAAAAAACAAAGTCAATCTCCCACCAATGAAGGTTGGGTCCATTCCCGCAGAAAATCCCAACATCACGGAAGTGTCTAAATTTAGAATTGCACAGCATCTAAAACAAAAATTGTCTTTGCCTCAAGAGAGGATTGCCAACGACGGCGTTTGATGGCGTCATCTAGGGCTTCAAGAAGGGCCTTGGGCCAGAGCTGCTTGTGGGAGTTAGACTTGGCTTTGTTCTCAACGCCTCTGATGGCGGCTTCGGTTCGGAGAATGCGCGACAACTCCTTCTTCGGCTCCTTCACTAGCCCCGCACTCCCTGCTTTCGCCCTCCGCTTCAACGACACCACGTTAAAACGACGCCGCTTCTTTGGAAGGGCCTTGTTGGTTGCAGGAGCGAAAGGTGTGGCGGAGGAGACACCAGACGACCATGTCAAGTTCATTTCAGACCCATGCAACAACCACAGGACTCACATCTTTTGTGGTAAAAAAAATCAAAATGGTTGTTATAATATATATATCAAAATTCATATAACTTCTTCAATTTTTAATTTATGTACAAGTTAGATAATATTTTTTTTATTTTATTTTCAAAAGATAAATTTCAAGTTTTCTAATCTATTTTTCCAATAATAAGAGAAATGAAAGTAACATTAAACAATATCCATATCACTGTATAAAAATTATCCATTTTAGTTTAAACATATTTAGCTTCCATGAGTCACCTTCAAATATTACTCATGTGTTGTTCATGCATAAGCAAACTGCTTTGCAGCTCATCAATTAATGTTATATAATATATTGTAATATATAATAATTATATTATCATTAAATAATTTAAATATTAATAAATATTTATTAATATTTTAGGGAGTTTAATGTATTTATTAATAATAAATATAACGTAAATAATATTATATAAATATTAAAATTTACATGTAATATTTAATATATGTATTAATATTTATAATAAATCAGCATACATTATCAAGAAATGGTTTTGGATATTGACCTGGCATAATTTGGTCAGAAGATAACAGTGTTAACTTAACGCTCTTTGCAACCGCGTGGACCGGTCACCGTTGATAAATACCACCCTTCTTCCGTTCCCACTCCAACTCACGGAGTCACAGTTCAAACGAAAAAAGACCAGTTTGATTATTCTATTTCCGTTTCTCCTTCATTCTCCGTTTCACTCTTTTTCACAGTTTTTTCCTTCCTTTGACCTAACCTACCCCTCTCCTTAATTCCTTGTCTTGTGTTTTGTGTGAAGAACATACTTTACCTTCTCTTCCCTTCTCTCTCTGGTAAGTTTCTTCTCTTTTTTAATCAATTTTTTGTTCTTATTTTTTTAAGCATATATTTGCTCTGATTCTCTGAATTTCGATGCACCACGTTCAACAATTCAAAACATTCTTTGTAGCAATTTTTTAAGTCTGAAATTTCATGATCAACTTGTGCTCTGGGTCGTTTAAGTTGTCTCTTCGTCGTATGATTTGATGATTTGATTATCAGCAAACTTGTCTCACATCAATTTTTCGGTTAGAGATTGATTGCATTTCTCTCCAGCTTCTTTTGTACGGTTTGTTGCATAATAGAATTAAGTGTGATTTTTTCTTCTCTTCTGTTATTACTGATGGATTTTGATGTGATTATTGTGCGAGATACGATCTTTTGCCTTTTTCGAATTTATTTGCATTTTGCCATCAGTTGTTGGAAAAATTAGGGCCGGATTGATTACTAAATATTTTGATATTTTTATTCTCTCCGATCTCTGGCTCTTGCTTTGGATGAAAGCCTGCACCTGTTGGCAGACTATGATTTTTTCAAGTTCCTTTGACTGTAACAAAGAATATGTGTAGCTGCTTAAAAACTAAATATTTTTTGTTGGGTATGGTCACTAGGTTTTAACAAAAACTGAAGCGTTTGCCGCATAATCATGCACCCTCCACGACAGCAGTCACAAGGTGGTGAAGGACTACGAACTTCTCTGTCTCTAGTTTCTTCAGATCCCCGCCTTTCACTTGAGGAGCCTAGATCAAACACTGGCAATCTCCGTGAATCTCCGACTGAAAGTGCCAGTTCTCGGGAAATTTGGCCTCCTGCTGCAGCAATAAAAAGGGAGAGTGACTTCCCTGATCAGGCTGTTATACGTCGTGTTTCTGGTTCTGACAAAATTACTCTTCATGACGTTGCAAGAGAACGAGTTGATATAATTTGTGAAAAAATGGTTCATCTACCTTCCGAATTTCTTGACGAACTGAAAAATGAACTTCGAGTTATTCTTGAAGGAGGGAATGGCTCGCAGCATAGAGAGGAATTTTTTATTTTGCAGAAGCTTGTTCAGAGTAGATCTGATTTAACAACCAACACATTGGCACGAACACATCGTGTGCAGCTCGAAATCCTTGTTGCCATAAATACTGGAATTCAGGGATTTTTACATCCTAGCATCAATCTATCTCAGGCTTCATTGATTGAGATATTTCTGTATAAGAGATGTAGAAACCTAGCTTGTGGGAGCCAGCTTCCTGCTGAAGATTGTACCTGTGAAACATGCACCAATGGAAATGGTTTCTGCAATCTTTGCATGTGTGTTATCTGCAGTAAGTTTGACTTTGAAGTAAATACATGCCGCTGGATTGGATGTGATTTGTGCTCTCATTGGACTCACACTGATTGTGCCATTCGCGAGCAACTTATTTGTGTGGGCCCTGCTACACAGAATGGAACAGGGCCAATCGAAATGGTATTTAAGTGTCAAGCATGCAATAGGACTTCAGAACTGCTGGGTTGGGTTAAAGATGTCTTCCAGCATTGTGCGATGTCATGGGATGGAGAGGCCCTGATTAGGGAACTTGATTTTGTCAGTAGGATCTTTCATGGAAGTAAAGACCCACGAGGGAGGAAACTCCACTGGAAGTCTGACGATCTCAAGGAAAATTTAAGAAGTGGCAAAGTCGAAACTACGGCTGCATGCACGGGAATATTGATGTTTTTCAAAGGTACAAGTTTTCTAGTTTACCTGAAAATTGTAGTTAGTATAATGTGATTAGTTTGTGAAGCAATATTGTTGTTAATATATTGGTAGTTTTATTCATTCTCTTTTCTTTTTGTTCTAACCAATACGTTTCATATGTGAAGAGCTTGAGCTGGACTCTCAAAAGACCCTGGAAAATGTTGAAAGTGGAAGTGGAAGACTGATTGTTCCACAGGAGGCATGCAATAGAATTTCAGAGGTGGTGCATGAGGCTGTAAGAAATATGGAAATGGTAGCCAATGAGAAGATGAGAATGTTCAAGAAGGCTCGGTTGTCTTTTGATGCTTGTGAACGTGAATTAGCAGACAAGGCCAGAGAAGCAGGAGAACTAAAAATGGATAGGCAAAAAAAGAAGTTAGAGATTGAAGAACTAGAGAAAATTGTGAGGCTTAAAAGTGCAGAGGCTGATATGTTCCAGATGAAGTCTAATGAAGCTAAAAGAGAAGCTGAGCGGCTCCAGAGGATTCTTCTTGCCAAGTCTGATAAATCAGAAGAAGAATATACCAGTAATTATTTGAAGCAAAGATTAAGTGAGGCCGAGGCTGAGAAGCAGTATCTGTATGAGAAGATCAAAATGCAGGAGTCTTCTCGTATATTGCAAAGCAGTAGTGGTGGTGACCCCTTGATGTTTTCCAAAATTCATGATCTTCTCTATAGTGTTCCTCCCAGTGCAGATGGTCCATCTAATGACTGCCATCCTTTTCGAACAAACCCATAAGCCTCGGTTAAGTGTATGCATATTGTAATCGTCTACCTATAATAGTAATATTATTTTATTACACCATTGATGCAGTCGGTGTCACTAGGTTCGAGACGTTTTAGACAATCTAACCCTTCGTGGGAAGAGGTAGTAGTAATTTGTTGTCCCGATCTATGTTTGAATACATTAACTTATTAAATGTTTTGATTTGTGAAATCTAATTAGTTAATCAATATGTTTGGAATACATTAAGTTATTGACTATCTTGATGTGTGGAATTTAATTAGCTAACCAATATGTTTAGTATTATGATATTATTCAGGATTACAGATCAAATAACATGGGATAGAATATTGAATTTTATTGATAAAATGGAACAGTACAGACCAAGTGTTTTTCTCGCCTTACTAGAAAAATGGGATACTCATCTTTTTGACAGATGCAGCTGGGTTTGGCACGTTAGCTTGTGGGGTTCGGTGGAACGAAACCATGTTTGCAAACGTCAAAGCAGCACTGATTCCATGGCATCTTATTAAAGAGCTTTGGCATACATTTGGTGTGACAATCCTTGCATTGTTGACAAACAAACCTGTTCTACCGCTGTTGGTGATGTTGATCATCCTACTTGGAATGCTAGAGGGAACCACAGATCCATTTGGAAATCGTAATAGGTGACTGAGCAGCAACGGTGTTGGAATAGAATGGCTGAGTATGAAATCATGCAGCTGGTTTAGAGATATGGAGAACTGTGATAGTTCATCATCATTTGGCATTAGGAATGTCAAATCATTGCTTCTCAGTGAATTTTGCTGGCTGTTGAGAATTTTGAGGAGGATGACAAATCCATAGTAAGACCTGCTTCTCATGTCAGCCATGGCTGCCTCTAGGTCGGTTTGGTTGAATGAAATTGTTGTCTGACATTCAGCAATGGCAAAGAGGAGGGTGAGAAGTACCACAGACCTGAGAGCCATTATGGGAAACTTGAATGTTTACTGTTGTGTGTTGTGTGTTGTGTGTGATGAATGCAGTGTCATCTCAATTTGTTTGGTATATATAGTAACGTTTATGTTTGAGGCTTATGTTGTCACACTTTTTTCCTCTGTTAGAAGGTAGGCCGTAGGCCGATTGTGCATGAAGAGGTACCCAGAATGCAGTAGTTAGTTCAGAAAGCTGGGAATGCTTTAGGCATCTTGGTATAACAGATAAAAAAAGATAAATCAAAATAAGGACTTCCAGTGAAAACAAAAGTAAAACATAAAACAAGTTATGAAAATTTTGAAGATTGAATTAAAATTAATTACAACTTTTAAAAAATGTAAAACCTAATTTACAAACAAATAAAATAGCAATTTACCCAAAATTAATCAATGGTGATTTTTTCAATTATCTGAAAGTTGACTTGAGCTTAGTATTGTAATGGCAACGGTAACTGCTGATAGTTGGATTTGCTTTAAAAAAAATCACGGAAAATTTTGGATTTTCTTACAATTTTTATTTCTAAAACTTTAAATAAAATTATATATACATTATTATTTTATATATAAAATTAAATGACAGATTAATTTAATGATATTATTCAAATAAAAACGTGTTATAAAATATTAGTACAAAATATTATCCTTTTACATGTTTTTGTTTTATGATAACTAATAAAGAGTCATTTTAAGCCTTAAAAATTAAGTAGGTATCTCATTCATTCCAATGTAGGAAATAATATATAGGTAATTGGAATGAAAATTATTAGTTAAATATAATTTT